CATATGTTTACAATTATAAATAAACTATAAGGTTGGAAAATTATAAAATTCCTATCGTTTATTCTGGAATTGCATATTGATTATGGTTCGAATAATTTAGAATATATAATGCTATATAAAATTAAAATTAAAATTATAGTAAATATAGAGTTCCATGTAACATAAATAATCAAGTACATTATTTTTTTAAAATATTAGCATCGCGTAATAAATAATCAAATCAGTTTTGAATTTTCACTTCTATTCTAGTATGTGATAATTATTAATGAAATACATAAACATTTTATGAATGAATGTGCTGTGTATTAAATTAATTTTGCATTATTTGATTAAAAAAATAAGAACTTAATTTAGCTAAAAGGGGATGAAACTGGATAAAACTTTTTAAGGCTTTAATTGTTGAATCATTTAGGTTTTCAAATCAAATCTTTTGTTGAGTTTATAAAGTAATAAGCTATTTGTAAAATAAATAATCGTCAAACGTTAACCTTTAAAATTTGAATAAAAATCCAAAAGAAAGGCACAAATATATTCTTATATGAAATTCGGTATCCAACTACCGATAAAAGAAAACACTAGACTTAGTATATTGTGCAAATGGGCAATATTTTCCATTGTTACTGGTGCAAGTTGCTTACATCCATTTCGTGAAGCAATTTAATATGGACTCTCCTTTTTTTGTTCTTTTATGTGTTGTGAAAATGTAATGTAAAGTGTGGCCAACAGTGTTGTAATAGGAGAAAGAAAATCGTCCAACTGAATTTGACAAAGCGAAATATCGTAATTTACATTTCAAGTTACGTACAATCTGTTTAATTACTGAACACCGAAATTGGGTTACGATTGCTGTTAACTTTCTTGTATATTTTAATTCGAAATTTTATTTATCTATAAATATACCAAAAGTATCAATGAAAAAATATCCATTTGAAATATAATTTTAAACTTAGTAGAGTCAATGGTAATTAATTCGGTTAGACATTTAGAGTTTACAACAGTTCTAAAAGCTGTATGTACAATAATTTATCCCTTTGCGACCATCGCTGAGAACTATCAATGTTATGATACATTTTTCTTTTAATTCATCTTTCTTTTTTGCAATGAAATCACGCCAAGGAATCATAAACGAGTATCACAATTTAAACAGAGAGTCATAAATTTTGTCACTTTTGTGTAAGCAAGAGACGAGTCATTAATCACCATTTACTTACAGAATTTTGTAAGCTTTTAAACAATACAAGGTTATGACTCCAAAATGTATTCTATTATTAAGTTTATGAGCACAAAATTATTTGCAAACAAACAATATTTAGTATGACATAAATTTCATGATAGGTAAGAATAAAATGAGAATTACAAATTTAGAATTTATTTAACACACAGTTATTATGCAATGTTTAAATTGCATCTACCATAAGTATACAAGAGTATAAATAATATGTAGAAAGTATAAGTTATCCGATATACTTGTAAGCTTGAAAAGTTTTTTAGTATTATTTATCTAAACGATACATTAAAAATAATTTTATTAAATCAATAAGTATTTATATAGAGAAATGTATTCATTAACTTTTTCCAAATAAATAATTTATGCTAAAAGTATACATTAATAGAAGTAACTTAAATAAAAAATATTTACAATCTTCTTCCATGTTCTGAAAAAAAAAGTTTCGAAAGATAAATGAAAAAATGTTATTCAAGCAATAAGAATCTACAAACTAAAATGTTAATTTTTATTATATTTAATTTAAATTGAAGTAGTGACTAATATTAATAATTATATAATTCTTAACTCTGAACCATATTTAATTTTTAAAATTCACCTATAAATCTGTGGTATGATAGTGTAAACTTTCAATTAAAAGTGTCCATTTAGGAATTGTGTTTTTTTTTGTGATATTTTATAGTGCATACTAACTTAATTTTTTTAAATTTTTTTTTATATAGACATTTTAATGAAAAAAATGTTAACAAGTCAAAATTTAGTAATTTGAATTAGTTTCAAAGTTATAACACTTTTTAATTAGCTAATTTATCATAGTCTAAACTCAATATTCTAGTTGGCGGCAACCTGTTTTTAATAATTATAATCATTCAATGATCGACCAACAATTTTACGGCTACATTTTTTATTTTTATTTATTTTTATGAAAAAGTGATTGTTCTTTACTTTTTTTTGTGTTTTCTTCTTACAAGTAATATCTTGGGATAATATATTTCAAATTTGTATTACTTAAGTATATTGGTTTAGAAAAAAAAAATTCAGTTTTTAGCAAATATGCAAATTTGGTGAAAATGGCTTCTTTCATACTACTTGTTGAAAACTAATTTTTTTGATTAATTATTTATCGTCACCGTTATTTTTAAAACCTAAAAATTATTTATTTTTAAACGAATTTGTAAATCTCCCGTCAACTATATCTAACTAATAAGCTTTTAACTATCATCACGAAACAAAACATATTTACACAAAGTACTAACTCATCCGTAATAAAATTGACGTTAGATCATCAAGTATATGACTAGTATTGCTTATCTCTTGGAGTGAGTTCCACACTCATAAAGAGTGCCGCTTAACGTCGTTCAAGATGGAAACGATAGATGTAAGCTAGTTATGAGCTAAAACGATTCCTTTATCAATTTTGAAAACAATTTCATAAAGAATGAATAAAAGATGAAAAACTTATTGATTTATTAATATATAGGCATTTTTTTATTTAAAATATTTATAAGATATATCAATGTTAAATTTTAAAAATACAAAAACTTTTGTCATAAATGGTATAAATTTGCATAAAAATAAAATTTTTGTGCCACTACTTAAATTTTACATTTGTTGTCAATTGTTTATTGCTTTATTGTTTTTATAACGTTTAAATACATGTAAACATTTTTTTTTAACATAGAATATTTACAACCTGTAATTTTTCTTCATTTTTTTTTTTTTTTAGTTATTTAAATAAGTTAAGTAAATTTTAGAAAATAAAAAAAAATATGAAGTATATTAGAAAAGAGATTCACTAATGTGAGGACCCTCTGACATACGTTGTTTAAAAAAAAAAAACTCTGAACCTTTTGTGTGATCTGTAAAAAGATTTTTTTTTTTTATTATAAAAATAGTTTTGGATCTGAAATTAAAATTAGAATTTATCAATATTTTTTAAATTACTTGTGTTTAATTCCCAGTGAATAATTACTTTAATCGATTCATTATATGTAATTTTTCAATTAAAATCCAATAAAAGCAAAGTGAATCTTTAATTAATATCTTAATATGTAGGTACGCAATAAGACGAGTATTTTTACCAAATAATGTATATGTTATATTTATTGAATTCCAAAAGAGAAAAATTGTAAATTATCCTATTTCATTTAAAATTCAAAGCTATTGATACCCTCAATCTGTTAATATCTTTCGGCAGTTACTTTGTTTTTAGATATTATTAATCAATTAATAATTGTACTCATTAACTAGTGTTCGTATCTTCTTTATGGTTAATTATTTGATTATATGGTTATAACTTTCATATAATATATAACATAACACATTATAAAAAAAAAAATTAACTTTGAGTGTGTATTATTATATATTTAATTTCTATAATATTATGAAATTCATTTGCATTAGTATACTCGGTTATATATAATTGCACTTTATAAAAATTCATAATATAATCGTATATATTGCATCATGTTTAAAATTTGTTATTATTTGATTAACGGTCATATATAGATTTTAATAAATTCAAACAATCTTGGGTCAATAAATTTTTAAAATTGTAGAAATAAAAATAATCTAATAATTGCAGTAATTTAAATGTTATGAAATGTTGCATGGGTGACAGGGTTTAAGTTGTTTTGAATAAGTTTTAATTATAAAATACTCATCAAGAAAGGTATGTAATTTCAGTGAACTAGATATTTTTAACACAAAAATGTTAATGTTAACACCTATATATATTAAAAAACCGTATATGCGATAATATTATTATAAAAAATATTCAACATTTTTGGATTTTATTCATCATTAGCTGACTAAAATTCTTCAAAAAAATTTCATGCTTGAGTTTCTATACTATTACTCGTGTAAACATAGTATAAAACCAAGAATAAATAGTCGTTATGATATACCTCAAATGCAGCATTGCATTATTTGCTTGAAACAATCTTTAAATGAATTATGAAAATTTCTTTTCAAATTCTAACAATCCCCTACAGTAGATTTTGTTACGATGGCTGACTATAAAAAAAATACTGACACATATAATGGCCGGAGCGTAGTGTACCACTCTTAAAAAGATTTTCAGAGTAAAAAAGAAAAAGAGATAAATAAGCAAGTATAAAGATACTGTATACCGTTGTAAAACCAATAGCTTCACCGGCGCATAATATTATATTCACATTTAAATGTAATTTCGTATTATATCCTGTAACGTGTATTATTATACATTCAACAATTTAACCTAATTTCGAAGCTCGTTCTATTTTTTTTTTAATTTTTTTTTTTCATACAAAATGCAGAATTTAAATAATAACTATTTATTAAAGTCAAAAGATATTACCACCTATACCATGTAGTTTATAATAAATGGACATTTTGTGAAACGCGGCGGCGGTAAACCGAGTCTAATTATCATAAAATCAATAAAACGTTAGGAAAGGTAAATGGAAATAGCGCTGCTGCAGTAGTAGTTAAGTTGTTTGCTAAAATATGAAAATATTTGTTTTGTTTTATACGGTCGATTAAAATTCAAAAGCGGTGAAAAAACCGCGAATACCGATTTCGACGTCGCCTGCAGCAGCATATATATTATTATCGATTGGCCTGCGCATAAGTGTTTTAAGTGTTTTTATATGTGTGTGTGTGTAGTAAAACTCGTTGTGCGCGCATTACACGGCTAAGGAAAAGGTTATATTTTATTTCGTGTGGTATGGTATTAAGATCGCGTGAACGTTGAATGAAAATACGAAATAAAAAAAAAAATGAAATTATTTCAAAGCTGAAAAACGCAAAGCAGCAGCAGCAGTACTCGTTCCCATCAACAATAGCAGGTTTTCTCGTGCAAAGTGTACCGATGACGGATGAAAGAGGAGGATGGAGTGCTGCGGTGGCGGATAATATAAACTCGTCGGACTGTATCAAATATCGGCGCGAAAGGAAAACGGTGGCGGACTGACGGCGCACTGACGGGAACCGACGGCGGCGCCTCCACGCAATGGGCTTTTTGCGTTCGTCTAATATCCATACACACGGGGTGATTTTTAAGCTCGTTCATTTCTTCACGGGCTTAAATTACGCTATTGTTCAATTCTGATAAATGGAAAATGTTTCGTGTACTATCTATAAGATTCTATTTTCCAATATACAGATTTTTTGTACCTTTTAATGAAAATCATCTAGTGGCAGTATAAACTGTTGTTTACAAATACCACAGTTTTTCTCGCGGATAATTATTTGTTTTATTTTTCTAGAGTATTTGATATAACATAGTTGACATTTGGACCAAAATTTTCGAAATAATTCAAATTGTAAAATTAAAAAAAAAAAGTGGAAAATATTAAGAATATTGATAATATCCTCTTATCGTTTTAAGATTTTATTTATACTAAGATTTAATAGTTTAAGGATTACGCAAATAAAAAGTTTAATATAATGCGTAACGTACATATATCACAGTGTAAATATTTTGTGTATAAATAAATCAAAATTGATGAATACCGTTAACTGGTACAATTCTTGTTGTTTTCTCATTCTCAATGCGATAATAAGAATATTATATTTATATCTTTTCAATTAAATTTGAATGACTCCGAAAATATTTATATCAAAATGTGGAATGTTATTTATCGAAAATTCCAAAAAAAAATTAACTGAATAATTATTTGCAAAACTAAAACGGAGTTCCCATTTTAAAAATAAAAGTTAATATTGCTATTACCACAGAAAAATAGCGTTAAATTGAATGTACGTCTTGAAAAATAAAGTCTTTGAGGACATATCATACATTTCCCATAAATTAGAATTTAGACAAATCATAATTTTAGCATAAAAAGGGGCGAATATGCTTAGAAAACACCGAGTATATTACGGCCGCTGATAATTGTCATTTTAATGCAAAAACGTTTTCCACATATTACACTGCATTATGTATATATGTATGTATTAATATACTCGTGTAGTAGTATTACAATAGCTGATTGTGTATTTGTTCAATATTTGCGTATTTTGCGACTTTTATATAACTGCGGTTTCCGTTCCGTTACGCTAGAATGTATGCACACACACTGGAATTTGTGTACGTCTTTCGCTAGCCTTTCGTTATCAATGATTACAGATGATTATGATAGTGGCGACGAATATTAATAAAGAATTAACAATGAGAATAATATTATAATTAATTATATTTTAGTTGCATAAAAACGATGTTTCTCGTTGTACATAATATTATAACTGGTACGTTTATACTGTGAAAAAATCAATAAGAATTGTATTAAAAGTCTGAAAAAAACTTAAAATCATAAAAATTAATCACATTTTGTATAATTATGATTATTATTTTTATGACAATATTGATATTTAATCGTAGGAAATTACCAAATTATGTCAAGAAAAGACAAAATAATATTAGTTTCGACTCATAAGTTATAGTGGTACACGTTTATAGCTAGGATAATATAACCGTAGACAATCTTAAAAAATAATATTATAAAATTCGTCTTGACCCTAAATATTATTCCTATATTCGTACGGTTCACGATTATAACACCTACAGTGTATTCCACGTTCAAAAATAATCACGGACACACGTACAACACAGTAAGACAATGCTTTCGTTACATCAAATCAAAACAAAATGACTTTTAACTTTCAACAGGGCTAGTCGGGAATAGGTCTAGTTGATTTTTGTGTTGGGTCGCTCCACTTTGGTAACGCCCATTACAATTGTCGTTAATAGGGTAAAATACGTTTCACGTAATGTCTTATATTACAAGTCGGAAGCGTAGCATAAATTATTCATAACCGGCTTCAATATAAGTGTAATATTTATCAGCTTGTTGGTTTATGTAAATTCAAAAAATAGTATTTGTGTGCCGGTCGCAAAGGTCAGTAAGGTCTGCTCAACGCACTGGCTAATCTGAAACAATGCGCACATATGATATTCATATAATTATACATACATATGTATATGAATATTATATTTTGTGCTAAACTTCACCGCAAGGCTTATTTTAAGGCTTTTTTAGAAGTTTTGAAAACTTAAAACTCAACCCCCTCCCCATACTCTCAAAAATATTAATCCCTGTGTATGATTATAAACCCTACTGCGGTCGTATTATAATATTGTGATAATAAAATAATAATAACACAGTCTTAATAAGCCTAATCTGATGATTGACAGACCATCTACATGCACTCGGCCATGATGTCGATAATTAAAATTTATTATTGGGAAAAATGTTATTAATAAATAGTATTTACAACAGTTCATTTTTCATTTAAGGTTACGCTAAATGTGTTCAAACGTACATTAAAATAGGCCCTGTTCACTGTGCCTTCATGCTCCAATGTGTCTTCGGATACGATTGTTTCGTACATAGTGCAGGTAAATTATTAAAAGTGTAGGTAAATTCGACGTGTAAAATTGCGAATCACCCATGTGCCTTCTACAACAAATATATGTATAGAGCATTTTAATAGAAGCCTTTTGCGTATGATTAACGTACGCACACACAACACAACTGTGCCTGTATTTGTAGATGAACATAGGCATGCACACACACACACATATAAATACACTAACCACCGTGTAACAACCATTAATCTTGTCTTGTCCGAGAATTCCGGCGGCGACGGCGTTGCGCACAATGCAGCGTAAAAGGGACTGACGTCTGATCAATTACCCTTGCACCTCCGCCGTCCCAGTCGATACTTGCCCTGCAGACCCTCTCGGGCACTCTGAACCTAGCCTTGCAATGCTTCTCAGGCGTGTTCTATACGTGCGCGCGTCCATCGTTTACCACACGTACCGATAAGGATTTAGTTCGGTGCGGGGGCAGAACGGGCGCGCGAAGAGGTGTACGCGTTAGCGCGAGGGAAGCAGCGGCGCGTCGGCAATGGGTTACGGTGCGGGATTTTCCCCGACAGAAATCATTTGCGACAATGTACAATAGCAACGCACAACAACAACGGCGGTGGCAAAGGTCATCAATCAGAAAAAATTATTTCTACTGCGTACAAATAAAATATTATAAATATACCGCGGCGGCGGTAGCATTAGGTGTCCGTGCAGACGATATCGACGGAGACCTTCTTTTTCGTACACTAAAATCATAGACATGTTAAAATGAACTATAATAATAATAATAATAATAATAATAATAATAATAATGTGAATGATTTAATTTTGAAAACATTATTGAAAAATTGTATAAACATATAAACTTTTTTTTTGTGTAATTCATTGTCGTTGCATGTCATACATCAATAATATGTAATAAATTATTAGTTATATAATATTATATATTTTTTTTGTATAATATCCGAGATTTTTTCACACTTTTAACCTGACGATTGCATCAAAAAATTTATTATTATTATTAATATTTTATTAAAAATTCGTACAACTTGTTGATTCATTATTCAATATTTGATGTCGAAATGTTTTTGACGTAAGCATATATTTTTTAGTAAAAATTTACGATTGTTCGGTCGTAAAAATCTAAGACCTGCTTCTGATGCCCATAGAAAAAAAACTGAGGTACGAGATCTCGACGTATATTGCTGCTCGCGCCCTCGCTAAATCGGTCTTTGAGATAGTGCGCGGCGTACGCGTATTCCGATGTTGCACTTCCCACGCAACGCGCACGAGTGTCAATGTTGTACGCTAACCTTATCATGCCGTCTAATTAATAAACGATTTTCCCATACGTCGACGACTACTCGGCGAGCGGTCCAACCATTACATTACGTTACCAGTCGCATATGTGTGATAATATTTTAGATATATATAACGGTAGAACGACGCGAGTCCAGCCAACGTGGTGTAGATGTGAAAATATATCGCTTTTACTGAAGGAAAATAATAATAATAATAATAATAATAATAATAAATTCATCATTTAAAACGGCCAAAGGGTCAAAAGGTTTCTGTATGGTACCTAATTAATAGTGGACCAAATTTTATTAGGGTGTCACAAATGATTTAACACCAAATTAAAAAGTTATATATTATGTATAATATTTTGTATGACTTAATATGTAGATTTTAGATTTTATTTTTACTCTAATTTATATTTTTTTAATATTAATTTTTTTTTTAGTAAATTAAAGAAATTTTAAAATTGCCTAAAATTTATTTAATTTATACGAATAAAATGTTTGTATACATTAAGTAATTATATATTATATACTTACATAATGTTGGTAGGAAGGTAAGAAGGGTAAGTCGTCTCATCAAAATAAATTAATTTGAGAGTCGTGGATCAAAAATGATAGATCACAGTTGCTCTAGAATATGTGGCTGTGGCGCGTTCTGCTCACAGTATACATTATGTATTATTATGTTCTGCTAGTTTAGTAACAGTGGTACATTGAATGTCTGTTGTAATTCATATGATATTGGTTATATTAGTTTTATTTTCTAAACTGTTTTAATTAGTATACTTTGACGAAAATGATAAACTGTATTTATTTTTTTTTTCAACGCACGATATTTGCTCGGTCAGCATTTGTGAAATGTGATTTCGTATAATAGAACGTTTGTTTTTTCATTTTATTGTAGTTTGATTTTTCAGTGATTTTTTACTATTTTAAACAACCATTTGGTCTTGAATCCTTTATATTTGATTTAGAGAATACGAGTTATCTAATATTTCTACCGCTTGATGAAATAGATTTTTTAAATTTATTTATTTATTTTTTACTGAGTTTTATAATACAGTTTTTTTTCTAATCGCCTCTTTTATACATATTTTATAGTTTAACATATATAAATATATATATATATATATATATACTGTTTTACTATATAATATTTATGTTTATTGTGTTGGTATAATGTTATAATTTGTTTTTTTTTGTTTTTTATCGCTATTTTCTGCGATAAAACGTGATTATTACAACATAATATAATTATCGAATTATATAACAGCTATATACATATATTTTATCCTAACAATTGAAGTGTACATTTTGCTGAACATTTTCACCAATAATATTCTTA